AGTACCCATGAAGCATTGCCCCGGGCACCCAACACACGGACCCCGCAGTCGCCGCGACGCCCACCCGAGAGCAGGGCCCGGCAGCGGCAACCATGGCGCCAAAAGGCAAAGGTGGGGCGACAACCCCACTGCCCCCTCCTCGCCCCAACGCAGTGCCACAAATCCCCTCCCCCCTCTCCCAACCCCTCCTTGCCCCTCCCTCACGACATTTTTCGCGACTGCTGCGGATTGATTCCCCCAGAGCGCCTCGCAATAGATCTTTCCCAGCGGCCGGAAAGATTTGTTTTTTCGCTTTCCGAGCCGTGGCCGAATCGGACTCTCGATGATGATCTGGGCGCTGGCCGCGCAGGCAAGGATCCCAAGTCGAAGGCCCAGGCCGCCGCCAAGGCCGCGATGCACGGCACGGTGAAGCGGCGGCTGAAGAAGTACACGAGCGTGACCTTCCACAAGCCCAGGACGCTGAAGATGAGGCCGGAGCCAAAATATCCGAGGAACAGGTGGGGGGCGGGAGCCTGGCGGCCGAACCCCGCCGCCGTGCTTGGAGGGGTAATTCCTTGATGCGCAACTGGATTCAGAAGGGAGGGTGGCGGGTTGCGCCTTGCGGGCGGTGGAAGGCCGCCCTGTGGTATTGATCGGCCTGTTGCAGGACGCGGGCGCGGGGAGGACGCACGTGTTGGGTGGCGGTGTGGGTCCGTTCTTGGGAGGGGAACTGCGCGGGGTAGCTATTTCCCCTTTGTGTCTGTGTTTTGTGTGGCCACTTGTCTGAAAATTGCCATCGATGCAATCCATGTGGTGGGGCCGGAGCCCTGCAGGTGCTGGTGGCCCTGTTTGGTTCATGTGAAGTTTGGTGGCTGTCAAGTGCAATGCAGGACCTGGCAGCTGCCACATCTGGATTTGGGTTTGATTGAATAGCAAATTGCTGACATCGACTTGACTTTTTTCCAGCTTGGGGAAGATGCAAAAGCTGGACCACTATGCAATTCTGCGCTATCCGTTGACCACAGAGTCAGCAATGAAGAAGATCGAAGAGAACAACACTCTGGTGAGCTTGGTCCAGGAAAAAGAACAAGCATTGGCGTGGTGGATGTTTCTTTGTTTTATATCCCTTGACAGTGCTTGTTCAACAGCAATGAATCAAGGGCCTTTGCATACTACAGGCGACGGGTGTGATGATTCAATGCACCAGAGACTACTGAGTTGTTCGTCTATCCCCATCAATACTGAAAACTGAACTGTTGAGAGAAAGAGGTGCAGACCTCCGCTCACAGGAACTAGCCAAACAGTGCCCTTCCAATCTGAAGGTGAGAGCACACCATGTTATCTCATCAGCTTTGTGAAGGTACACCATTGTGTGCCCATCCCCAAAATACAACACACTGCCCAGCTGCAGGCAATACATGACCAAAGACGCTGTCATGAACCCAATCCCAAACCTGTGCACACATGGCAGCATACGTCAGAACCTGCCACTTCAACAGTTTGTCAAGCAAGATATCCATCCAGTGCACATCACCCACACACTCTCCAACAAGATAGCGCAGCGAGTTTTCTGTGTCATCACATTTAAGTACAGTTGCCATGCTCACTCGAAAATAGGCAACCAGGCGAGCATGATGCACTAGAATTCAAATGTGCAATAACCTGTGGACGGCTTGTCAAATGTAACAAGACGCCAGTTCCATGTGTGGTGGTGGTGACTTATCAATTCCCCAACCCTGCAGCCTCCAAGTGCGCATCTGCTCAGCTCCTTGGGCACATCTGTTTGTCAGATGCTGTGCATCCGGCAGGTTCAGTGCATATGAAACCAGAGCCCTATTGAGAGCGCTTTGCTGCTGTGGACAGCGCCTGACGTCACCCGATAGTGTTTTGCGTGCTTGGAGGCCGTGGGCCTGAGGACTTGATACATCACCACAGCCACATATGGATTTGGTGTCTTGCTACATTTGACAATCTGTCCACAGGTTATTGCACATTGGAATTCCAATGTACCATGCTCACATGGTTGCATAGTTTCTAGGGAGCATGGCAACTGTACTTAGTTGTGATGACACAGAAAACAACCAAGACACACTGCAGGTGCCAATCTGACATTATTTGGGAACCACAAAATGTGTGACTTCACATTCCCAGTGCATGAGAATGTATATCTGAGATGTCGATGCGGTGTGAAACAAACTCCAGCCCCTTGTGACTAACAGAGATTGCCAGCAATTGTTTTAGCCATCTATTGAGACTCGCCATGGCAACAATTGCTGCAAATTGGCAGCTGTTGACCTGCTAGCCATAACGCACTGCAAGGTGCTGTTGCAGTCTTGTGGTATCTGGTTCACACATGGCACACCCGGCCTGCAAAACTGCACAAAGTAGCCAGCGGATGTCCTGAATGTGTTGTCCCTGTAGACGTCAGATGACAGGAGCCCTTTGCTGACTCTGCAGACTAGATTTTGGCGTTGTAGCCTCCCTTGCCAACAGCTGCAGAGTAATCAGTTGGCCCTGTGGCTTGGGACTATGGATCCAAGTACATAAGCCGGCTGACCAGCTCACACCTCAAGAAAGAGCTCGCTTCCTTACTTGCCCGCTGCACTGGCCTGTATTTGTACAGAACGCCCCCTACTGTGCGACTTGGTTTGGTGCATCAAGCCCATGTGCTCGCATTCTGGTGCCTGCCCGCAACGCAATATGAACCAGAGACAGGAGTCCCAGGGTTGATCAAGGAAGCAACTTGCCCAAAGCTTGCGACCCACCCCAACCGTTGTGGCACCTGTCACATGCGCATCATTGCCAGAGGCATGTTAGGATATGTTTTTTTTTTCTTTCTGCTCACATTTCCTCGCTGTGCATCTGTTTCCAGGTCTTCATCGTCGATATCCGGGCAAACAAGAAGCAGATCAGGGATGCGGTGGAGAAGATGTACGACATCCAAACCAAGAAGATCAACACGTTGATTCGCCCGGATGGGCAGAAGAAGGCGTACGTCCGGTTAACAGCCGAGAATGATGCCCTGGACGTTGCAAACAAGATCGGGATCATCTAAGCCAACAGTGCAGGGATAGTTGCTGGGCTGGGTTTTGTAAGTGACAACTGTTGCGTTCTTGTTCCGCGTGCATCAAATCACTCTTTCATAGCATTCGTCCCAAAAGACAACGTGTTGCCTGCTGTGCAGTGGGCAGCGAGGTCTGCTGACCACATGAGGGTGGTGTGTTTTGTGTAGATTGGCACTCATGCGCTGAGCTGCTGCTGGTCTGCAGCACATGAACGAGCCAGATCATCAGTGATGGGAATATGGCCAGTAGCCCTCAGGCATGCAAGCAAACCTGCAGAGAACTACCCCTACACACATAGCTACAGGCTCTTGCACGCTTCAAGACGTTGCCGATGGTAAATCTTTTGACCAACTTCCTTGCAGCGCGAAGGTAGTTCTTCATTTTAGGCTTTTGTTCTCTGCCCCTTTATTTGCATCGTCAGTCCCCCTCGTTCCTCTCCATTGCTCTCTTCTTGTTTTACGAGCGAACAAAGGCGTTTGTAGATGCAGAGGGCGTGGACATGCGCATCACCACCTGCAAGGAGCAAGCTCCCCACACTGTCCTTCGAAGGCGCTCCAAGCGAAGGAATATAGCACCTTTCCGAGCTTGCCCCTCCATTGCGCGCTTCTTGTTTTACAAGCGAACAAAAGGCGATTTTGGATGTAGAGGATGTGGACATCCCCATCATCGCCTGCAAGGCGCAAGGTCCCCACATTGTCGTCCGAAAGCCCCCCAAGCGAAGGAGTGTAGCATCTTTCCGAGCGTGCCTACATTTTAAGGAATGTGCTCAGTTTCACCCCACATGGTAATCACTACATTGCGATGCCTCAGCGCACTCGATGCCTCCCTGCCATGCAGCAGAGCGCAACAACCCCCCCTCAAAACCAGCAATTCCATCCAGTACATCGGCAGTACATCCACTGCACTTCGTAATCCCCTGCCATGCAGCAGAAAGAAACAAGAAGAAAACAACCCACTACATCACCGGCGCCGTTCCCAGCCAGCAGGGCCGTTCACGGGTGCCATTCTTGGCCCCGCGACGGTGAAAATGTTCTCTATTGTGACAGTGGCAAATACCTTTTCGCGCTGTGGGGCCCAAAATCTAGTGGCCGCTCCCCGTTGTTGGACTTGCCTGGGGCCCACGAAAAGGGCCCTCCGCCTCCGCGCCAGGGCGCGACCACAAACCACCGTATCTCCAGCCCCCACTCCCCACCCCGCCGCGCCCGCCGCAGGGCCCACGCAAGAGTTCAGCGCCATGGGCCTCGGCGCGATCGGGCTCGGCGCGCGGCCGCGCGGCGGGCCCGGCTTCAGATCCCTCGGCCAATCAAGGGCGCCGCCTCGAAGGTGGGTGGCCTCTCCAGCTCGATGGACGCGCAGCCGCGTGATCTCGCCGCAGATTGTTTTGCCGGGGCATCTTGATCGAAGTCGGAGGCCCGCATGCACACAGGGGCCCCCACAGGCGCGCACCTGAATTTATGCTCGAGACCCGACGGGACTGTGCATGCTGGCGTGCTGTAGTGTGCCCGGTGCCGAACTCGTGAGCGTTCATTCGAGGGTTGAGCAAGCACTGGACACCTTTCATCGTCTCTGATTCGGTTTCTGGGCTTGGATCCCCGGTCTGGCGAGATGAGCGCCTGCGGCTCGCCAGTTGGTGGCTGACAGCGCGATGGCCCCACGGTTGCATGGTTCCAAGACGGATTCTTTCTGTGGGGGATTTGATCGAGTTCGGCGCTTTGAGGCTTGGGGTGGGTGGATTGGTGGGTTCGGTGGATTGAGATGGATCCAGTGCGCGAAATGGGGCTTGGTTGTGATGGCGGGGGCGGGGAAGGGGCCTGGTTCTGATCATCGGCGAGGTTCTCGACGAGCAGTGCAATTGGAAAGTTTGACCGCCTTTTTGCGATGGCCGTGGTGCCTCGGAGGTCGGTTGTCGGGATCAGCGCCTTGGGATGGCTGCTGTGGGCGAAACAGGGCTTCGCGATGATGGCGGGGGGTGTGGATGGGCTCGGTTTTGACTCTTGGCGAGCTTGTCGAAGAGCAGCGCGATTCAAACGTTCGACGCTCTTGTTTTGGTGGCCGTGCTCCCCTGGAGGTGGAGATGCGATTGCAAGCGAGGGAGTGGGCAGCCCGCATTCGTGCATTGGACAGCCGATCGGGATTGACTGTGTTGAAATTGGCGGTGGCAGGTTGGGCGCTGGGGGCGAGCGGCCGGCGGTGGTGCGACCTGTGGCCGCGGCGTCGGCGCCGCTGGCGGGGAGCTCCGCTTTCGTGCAGGGAGGGCCGACGCTGGCAAAGGTGGGACGAGGGCGCAGGCGGGAATGAGGTTTGTCGTCAGGTCTTGTGGACATGTTTTTCTCTTGGAACCCGCCTTGTTTCCGGACAACCTAAACCCTAAAAACCACTGACCCACTGACCGGCGTTGGCCTTGTCAGCGGAAGGAGAAGGGGATTCACGCGGAAAAGACAGGGGGACTAGTATATTCTGGGCGCAGGCCCTGAACCCTGGTTTGGTTGCAAGCGTCAGATCAGAACAAAGCGGGATGTAACGACGCTCCTGCGCGTGCAAGGCGATCACGGGTAATGTTTTTGGTGGTCGCCGCGCCTTTTTCCGCAGTCCTCAAAAACTTATCGAGTTTCGAAATCTGATGTGCGTCTCAAGCGCGGGAGCGCACGCCATAGATCAAGGGGTGGTGGGCTCCGTGGTTTTGGTCCCACGTCGGAAAGCCGTGTTTGCTGGACTTGAATTGTGGCGACGGAATTGCGCCATTGATAGTCGTGGTCACTGAAACACTTGTGGCTGCCCACTGCTGTTGTCGTGCACAGCGGGCAGGGTCTCCAACAGCGGTGGACGATTGTCCCATCCTGCTGTTTATGCTGTGCAAGAGGAGACTTCCAAGTTCTGTGTTGGAAATGAAAGAGAAAGCTGATGGCTGTGCTTAGGAGGTTGCCCAATTTATAGTTATAGTTTAGGGATCAGTTTTCTCCGTGTTGCCATCATTTGGGTTGATGTTACAAGGAATGGACAGAATGCAAGCACTACAAGCCCTTGTCATGAAAATAGACATTCGGCACTTTGTCGATGCAGTGCCATCTCCATTGGGCTGCTTCGAACTGCGATCTGCAGCCAAACAGATTTTACTCATTTGAAATTTTCTTGAGTTCGTTTATGTGTGGAGAATGGCGTACATGATGCCTTCATGCTGGCCCTGAACGTGTCTAAGCATTTGGGATGTGTGCCTTTCTTTGAAGGGAAGTTGCCACGGTAAGAATTGGGCTTCTCTGTGCTGCCACAGAGGGCCCGCAAATTGCCCTTATGTTTTATAATGTTTAATGTGCCTTTGTGGCATATCAGTAGAATGGAACCACAGTGGTGACCTGGGCCATCTCGCAAAGAGCGTCAGGCTGTCCTCAAGCAATGGTCAAACACAGTTTGACAAGCTTTCTGTCCTGGCAGGTCTCAAGGATTGCAACAGGGAGGACCAGTCATGCGAATTGCAGGACAGCATTGAAAGCAGTTGTCGCATCCGCCACGCCAACTGAATGGGAGGTCAGTTCTTTTGTGCCTGGGTGCACTTTCGTCCCTCGTATCCTATTGCAAAACGGCGGGACACCCGCATGGCAGTGAACAGCTTTTGTCCTGTGCCCATTCAATCTGCTTTTGAGCACAGACAGTCGATTCCCCAGTCCATGTTGCCTGAACCTGCTCTCCCAAACGCCCATGCTTGACAGCTTTCCTGGGTATGGTATATCTTTCTCACTCAGGTCCTTTGGGTTGTTTGCAAAATTCTGCACAATCACGATCAATGCTTTTGGCGATTAGCCCAAAGCTCAACAGGTCAAATGTTCCTGCAAACACTGAACTCCTTTTCATTGTGCTTGATCGTGTCCCTACAGTCCCTATATGTTTGAGTTCATGGCTGATTGTTTGCAGGGTGCAAAGCCAGTTCCGCTGGCGATCACACTCGCCATTGGTCTCGTTCTCAGATTCCTGGTGCCCATTCCAGAAGGAATCACAGCAAAGGTATAGCACAATTAGCGGTGACAATGCTGTGAATTGAGGACATTGCACTGTGCAGGAGCAGCACTCCTACAGACATGTAAAGGCTTCATGTGGGCAAACACTGTAGGACAGATCGATCATCATGCGCCCAGCTCACTCATATCAAAAGCAGTAGAGGATGCGCTGAGGTGGATGCAATGACTGAGATTCAGAGCACTTGCCCAGATGGGCACAACACTGCCTATTCGTGCACTTGCAAGCTGATCTGAAGGCAATTTATGCTATTTGAACATTCATTCTCATCAACGTTTTGGCTAGCCGCACCTGGACTCTTAAATGCGATGAAATGTTTGGGATACAAACTGTTTGTCCGGGTTCATCTTTCAACCCAAGAGCAGGCCACTAAGTCGAGCAGAAGGAAGGTGACATGTCTTGATAATCAATACAGTACTTGTGAGTGATGAGTAACTGGCAACTGAGCATCAACTACTGAGAACAACAAGACACGACAGTGATAAGAATGATTTCAAAAACAAGGGAAAACAGTAACATAGTTTGCATGAACAGAGCCAATGCTCACATCGCACTGGCACTGACATTGAGTGGGTGTACCCACAGTGCATGTTTGTGAAGATTGTCACATTTCATGTTGCCTTCATGGTGCCTTGAGTGACCAAATGTCATCACTTACATGCACAACATGAATGTGTTCAGGATGTAATCAGGAATCAGATAGACACATGTATGATGAAATGCATGTGCATGCCCAAGTACTGAATTTGGCACCACTACCCCCAAGCTGCCTTCTTGTACAGCTGGCAAGCTTGTGTCCTTGGGAGCAAATGGAGTCAAAATTGAGGAACGCAGTGACGTGTACTGTTTTTCACACATTTAGGGCTTGCAGACAAGCCCCAATAGGCATCGGCATGGGGCAAATTCTACAGTTAGGCCTGTGTTCACAGGACGGAGTTATGCAACTTTGCAGCATTGCAACTCTGTAAATTGACAATCAATGAGCAATAATGATGACAAAGCTGCAAATGTTCATCACCAGAGTAATGCAAATTGACAAGCAATTGAGAAAACAGAACTTCCGAATACTGTTGCAGTAGAATATTACAACCATTGCAATTACTCCAGCAGTGAAGTGACAAACTTGACTGTACATTGGCTGGCAGCATCCCTTCTATTGGCTTTATTGTTAAAGTGTAGACCTACATTGAATATGGTTGCTATAGCAATGTGATAAAATAAACTAATTGGATAATAAACTGGCTGTATGTTGGCAAGCAACTCACTTTGCACACTCCACAGGGCTGGACGCTGCTCTCCATTTTCCTGTCCACCATTGGAGGCCTGGTCCTGGAGCCCCTACCCACAGGCGCGGTGGCCTTCCTGGGCCTTACCGCCACCGTTCTCTCAGGCACCCTCACATTCGCCCAAGCTACATCTGCGATGACCTCCGAGGTCATCTGGCTCATCGTGGTGTCCTTTTTCTTCGCAAAGGGGTTCGAGCTGACAGGCCTGGGCAGGCGGGTGGCATTTCTGTTTGTGAAGCTGTTTGGGAAGAACACGCTGGGGCTGTCCTACGGGCTGAATGTGGCGGAGGGGTTGATCAGCCCCGCCATGCCGTCGACCACGGCTAGGGCGGGGGGCATCTTTGTGCCCATCATGACCAACATCGCAAAGAACGCAGGCAGCACCCCAGGTGGGGGGGGTGAGGGTTGGGGTCCACGGTGATGGGAACGCGTGTGATCAATGTGCTCATCAATCTGCAGACAAATATGCTATCAGTTGTAATCTTAATTCTCATGTTCAATGTGGTCTCAGCAATGATGTTGGCTATAATGTTATTGATGATGTGAATCGTGGTGTGCGGCCTAGCTGAATTCACAGTGCTGCAGGTGCTGCTACTTTGAGGGGGATTCCCAAATATTGCTCACATCAGATTTGATGTTGAAGTTCTAACATTACAAATTCTTGACTGATTAGCCCTGGGTGTGTGGATTTTTGGTGATATTGTGCATCCAACAAATGTGCTGGCCTGACTGGATGTTTCAGAATGGAAAAAGTCTGGGGACACTGTCTTCATCAATGCACAATTGGGCAATCGTTGACAGCAAGCTATGAGAGGGTCTTGTTTCAATGATCTGATAACAGAACTATCTGCAATTCGAATGTATCCATGTTCCATGTACCCTGTACGCAATGCATTTTGAGAAGGGGCCAGTGTTAACTGCACACATGAAAGTTCACTGTGACAAATGCGACATGTGTCATACAATTGGCAGGCCCTCCTGAGCAGCAGTCTCCGATTGCAACATGGAAACCTGCACCACATAAGAGCACGTATGGCAACAAGGCATACATTTGGTGGATTTCAACTCAGCAGAAAGAAATGAGACACCATTCTCTGGGGACAACTATTTGTTTCTGTGCCCAGCACCTGACAGTGCAGCTAGGTGCAAGGACATGTATTTGGGCTTGTTTTGTTGCACCTGCAGCAGCCAAGGTCGTGGCTGTGACATCCACATAAACAAATTTGGCACATGATTTTATGTATAAAAGAGGTGTGAATTGCTCCGGGCTGTGAGAGGGCCTTGTGTGCTGTAGCCCAGTCTCAAAACGCATGAAGCTTGGGGCCTTTCTGGTCCACTCCCAGTTTCAGACCAGCTCCCACACATCAGCGCTCTTCCTCACTGCCGCTGCACAGAACCTCCTGTGCCTGAAGCTGGCTGCCGACACGATCGGCACCATAGGGAATCCGTTTGTCACATGGTCCCTTGGGGCCTTGGCACCCGCAGCAGCAGGTGCGTTTTGTTTCTTGGCGAGAAATGTATTTACACTTTTTGTCTTTTGTTTACACATTTTTCTCTTTGTTCATCAAGGTCATGTCCCTCACTGACAACACATCAAATGTGCTGATCCCACATTTCATTGGGTGAAATGAGGTCTTCTCTTCTCGTTGTCTGTGCAGTTTAGAAGAAGCGGCCATAAGGGAACAAACATTGTGGTGGCATGTGACTGCCAGTGCGAAATTTTGGAGCTTTGTTATGTGTGCCAAATGCAATTGCAAGAATTCCTTTATGCGACTGATGTGACCCCACCAGCAATAGAGATGGTGGACAGAATGCTCTAGAGTTGGATGCACAAGGCTAGACTTGTCTGTGGCAGATGTTTTGTGCATTTGCTTGTTCAATCTTACAGCAATGCATGATGTGAACCCACTAAAGACACTCGCCTTGACCAGCTTGTGTGTTTTATACTTGCACTGCTGCAATGGATACAGTGGTTACAGTGGATACAGTGGCTGAACTGGCTGTCGCTGCAATGATGGACACTGTGCAGGGCTCATCTTGTCCCCACTGCTGATGTACACACTCATACCACCTGAGCTGAAAGAGACCCCAGAGGCACCACAGGAGGCTCAAGAGCAGCTTGAGAACATGGGCCCCATGTCGAACAAGGAGTGGATCATGCTTGGCACCATGCTGCTGGCCATTACTCTGTGGGTATGTCTTTGTCTGTTGCCATGCCTTTAAACACCTTCGCACTCGCACACTTGCTCGGTCTTGTTGCCAAAGCCAGCCAGAAGGGAATTCAAGCGCCCTTTTGTGGTGCTCTAGCACTCATCACTTGCACAAGATGGACATAATTGCATCAGCTTCAATATGGAAAAGAGCCTTGAAGATTCTGCTTAGGGCAGGGGCTCTCATTGTGTTGCCTTGTGTATCCTTAACAGTACCCCACCTGTGCAACAGTGCCAATCTGTTGGTTTCTTTTCGTTTCTTTTTCCTTCTCTGCTTTTCTTTTCCTTCATGCCCTGTTGTTTGTCTGACACTCAGTTGCCAGTATGCAGTACAGGCCAACTGTCTGAATCATGGACAAACAATGCCAACAGTGATGCAGCACAGGTTGCTGTTTGTTACCTAGCCAAACAGACACCACTTTGTCAAAACCAGGAAAGGAAATCAATGCACAATTTCTGCTGCTCCTGGAAGGTGTCTTCCTGTCGTACTGCAAGATTTCCACTTCATATCACACAGCATTGCAGATAGTCTCACAGCGTTGTTGCTTGGGTGAGAGGTACCCATTACATCCCCTGTTGCCCTCCCATCGTCGCTTTGTAGCCTGCAGAGTGCAAACACTAATTGCTGTGGACAAACACTGACTGCAAATAACGATTGCCTGTGAGGACATTTGCAATCCATGGAAGTCGTTTTTTCTGTCATCATGACACAGCTGTCACTGCGTGCCAGGTGTTTGGCGAGGGCCTGGGCATCCCAGCCGTGCTGGCGGCCATGATCGGCCTGTGCATACTGCTCCTCACCGGCACCCTCAAGTGGCAGGACTGCCTTAACTACGCCCCCGCCTGGGACACCCTTTTCTGGTTCGCCGTGCTCATTGGCCTCTCCGGCCAGCTGAACTCCATGGGCATCATCAGCGCCTTCTCTGCCAAATGCGGCGCCTTCCTCACAAGCCTTAACCTGGGCATGATGCCCCTCTTCGTGGTTCTGCACGTCGTCTTCTTTGGCATCCATTACCTGTTCGCGTCCCAGACGGCCCACGTCGCGGCACTGTACTCTGCCTTCCTGACGCTCATGCTGTCAGCAGGTAGGCTGCTGGCCATCATGGCACCCGCTGCATATGTGCCTTGTGTAGCACAAGTACTACGCATATCGTACATGTTGTGCATGTAGTACGTGTGTCGTTCTCTGTTTTCACTGTCTTGCTGCCGGCGTATGTACCGAATATGATTTGCAGCCACGGAGATGGTTAAGTCAATGTAGACAACATAAAAACCAGGCTTGGTTTTTACGCCGTAAAAACTGATCGTATTTACGTTTTTACGCGTAAAAATAGTTTTTACGTTTTTACGCGTAAAAATGCGTAAAAATACGTAAATACAACGTAAAAACTGCTCGTTGTACATAAGGACAGTGCACACAGACTTACGGAGTTCGGAGAGTGGCATTCAGACGCCCTGGAAGGGGCAGAAAACGAGTTTTTGTTAAACACCGTCATCGCCCTTGCCAATTGCGAGGTGTACACTGTGTTGCGGGTCTGGATATGGTGGAGGCCTGGCCATTGTGCGAACTTTCGTCCTGTAATCTGGGCGTCCCAGGGAGCCGTAAAAACGTAAACGTAAACGTAAAAGCCAAGCCTGATAAAAACCCATACTTTTGCTCTCTGCTTCGTTTCAAAATGTGGCAGGTCTAGTTTAGACAACGTCGGATGATTTTCATTGAATGTGCGTACACTGCTCGGAATTCACAGCATTTTTTCCATTCATGCTTTGAAAATTCGCAATGCACTTTCTAATTTCTATTTCGCTCTTCGCGATGGACGATTCGCTCATCATTTTCACGACTTACATCTTGAGGCTGCCAGTCTCAATGAACTTTGACTTGCATCCCTGCCTGGGCATTTGTCGGCTATGTTTGCAAGTTTTGGTGACGGGCCTTATTACTTGCACTTGTCTTGTTGTTGCCTTACCGCTAGTGCTATCAACAGCAACAACTGACAAGAGCTAGCAACTGGCGTTAACTGCGTTCGGCGCTAACTACACTTGGCAATGCAACTGCAAGCAGCATTGATCAATATGTGTTTCTGGAATAACTGCTGTTGTTCTTGTGCGCCGCAGGCGTCCCACCCCTCATGGCGGCACTCTCACTGGCCTACAACTCCAACCTCTTCGGCTCCATCACGCAGTTCGCATCCGGCCAGGCCGCAGTCTACTACGGCTCCGGCTTCATGACCCTGCAGGAGGTCTTCAAGATCGGCGCCCTGTTCGCCCTGCTCAACTTGGCGCTGTGGCTGGGCGTGGGCATTCCGTGGTGGAAGGCGCTGGGATGGTGGTGAGGGCTGGCAGCGCAGCACGGCGTGCTCCATCGCCGCCTGACGGGCGCCTGGGAGACCATCTTGCTGAAAAGAGGCAATGGGAAGGAGGCGTGTTTCCTGCTTGAAGCTGAAGCTCGAGCAGTGCAGTGCACGTGAACCTCGCGTCCACCTTCACGTGAACCGCACGCAGTGGTGAAAGTGCGCCAATTTCTGCGTTTATATTACCGTTGTGAACTACGCCATTTGGTATTCTGGGACTGTGGCAAGGCGTTGAGGCGACCTGCGCAATCCCCGACAACATACAGGGCGTTCCTTGACCTTGTTTTTCGTTGTGGGAAGACGCCGGGGATGGAAGCGCACCTTCGCTCCCTGCGCCTGCGATAGTCTGTTGGCTGAGTGCCGCACTGTCGTACGCAGACAGCTGCGAGCGACGTGGTTGAAAATATGGTGATAGAAGTGGAGAACCCGAAGGCCGTGGTACAATTTCTTTCCTCGTTTTGTTTATCTTCAGTACACGCTGGTGCCCGTTAACCGGAACGTCGATTGTGGAAGGTGACCGGGCGTTGCTCTGGAACTCAAGGCAGGGGCAGGGGACCGCTGGCTGAGAATCGCCTGGAGGTCGGTGGTCCCGCACCGCCAAGACGCCTCTGAAGACAGCCGTCTCAGCTGGAGCCAATTCTTTAATTTGGACGCTGAGTGCCATTGGACGGGGAAAGCCCCGAAATTTTTAACGAGATGTCGCGGATCTTGTGGCTGCTGCCTGTCCACGGGGTCCGTTTCGACACCGGTGCTCTGAAGTTGGCAGCAACACAACGGCGCATACCCGGGCGCTGGAAGGTGGTTCAGGGTGTGTAGATTCTAGAGGTTTGGGCCCCTAGCACCTTTCATAAACTTCATGACCTTCGTGACCTTCATGTCCAGTGATGGTAGGTACCGGACAATTCTCCACGCACAAATGTCCGATACACTTCATTTCTGGGCATGACGTGATGCAGGTGATGAAGGTCATGGACGTATGAATTGATGGAGGTCACGATGGTAATTAAGGTGATGAATGTCAATTTTGTGGTTTAGGTTGTGTAGATTCTGGGGGTTTTGGTCCCTACTACCCTTCATGCCCTTCGCGACCTTCATATCCAGTACTGATAGGTATTGGACCATCTTGGACGTACATTCAACACGCGCTAAACGCGTAAAAAGGCCTCTTCATTCTGGCCATCGCTGCGGCAGCGGTGTTGGCGGTCTCAGCGTGGGATCCAGGTTCGCCAGTTGGCATTGCCTGCTAGGTTGCCTTGGGCCAACGTACCCATACTATCCAATACGTATGTGCAGCATATGCCAGCGTATACTGCAGTATGCAGAATGCACTCATGGTGCTCTTAGTTTTGTCTGTTCAGTACCACTGAATATCTGAAGCAAAAAATACTTCCAAGTGTGTAACTACACACTTTCTCTCCGTCCTGAACTAATGCCTGGATTTGCTTGCGAGGCTGGGTGTATACCATGCACTTAATGGACACGGACTTGGGCCGGCCCCGTCGTGCTACAAGACCCAAGGACATTTTCTCACACACGCTTCCAGCCTGTCTTCTGAACGAACAGCCGCGTCGCCATGCAGCCCTCGGATGCAAGCTATCCCGAGGCCGTCAAGACATCGATGCGCCTGGCGACAACTTGGCTTAAAAGCGCAGCTGCCGTGCAGTGTCAGCACGCCTGCCAGCTGCCAGTTCACGGTGCAGCACCCCGGAACATGCCGTCATTGTCGTTCACTTGGATTTGGATTTTGCCGTTCCTTCCACGTGCGCCTTGAACTCGGTGCGGAGAGACTCCTGCAGCGCGAGTTGGGGCAAGGGGGCGTGAGCATCGCTGATGCGGCATGTTGGGCGGAATGCCAGTGACTTGTGCAAATGGGAACGAATTGAGGTTTAACAACGCAACTGAGGAGGTTCGCACAAACAGGGTCACTGTCCTGGGAGCTGCTGCAAGAAAGAGACGATCAAAAGCGCATGTGTTGTTGCAGAGAAACACGCAATACGACACCTTTGCGCACAAAGTGTGTCAACCCATTCGAGCAACAATAAAGAGGAAGGTGCAGACGAAACGACGAGGACGCGGGTCGAACGTACATAACATCGCAGTGCGCAAGCAGGCAAATGATACATACGCAGGTGCATGCAAAACATAATGGAACCATTTCATGTGCATGTGCAGCACAAGGTCAGCGATGCCCGGCGAATCACCCCCAGGTACGGACGCAACGAGTGGCCAAGGTCACAATTTTCCGTTGGTGGCAAAGCGCAACTGAATGTTCGCATCACAATTGTTATTGAGAATTAAAGACGCTGGAGCCAAAAAAATGCGCAACCCAGGGAAGCGGTCCAGGAATCAGAGGCGCACCCACACAAGAGCCGTTGCCGTTTCAACGAATGGCATGGATTGACGACGATGTGACCATACAATGGCATACGGTGGCGTACGGGGAAGCAACATACGGTGATGTGACTGCAGAGCCTCGAATTGGCAGAACGGGGTGTCGGCCCCTCCCTGTGGAGTCAATTGCAGGCCGATGCGAACATGATGAAAACTACAACGGCCGCCTTGCCAACGTGCATTACAACAAGCGACCAATTCAGCAATCTTATCAACTAAATGTTGTTGTTGTCACCAGAGCTGATCGAGCACTATTAACAGCCGGACGCAGAGGTGATGAGACAGTAGGAACTGAATTTCAAGACACCGATGAACGGACTGGATACAAGGGACAAAATTCCCGCTGTCCCTTTGCTCCGCTGTACAACGTTGCCAGGTACTCGAGCCTACGGTCCCCAGGCAGGGGTCGCCACCCTTCGACTCTGCACGCCTTCGTCATTAACAACACCATGCCGCATTGTACCGCACTGCTGCAGCATGTTCCAAGAATCGGCACGGCTTGTTGTGCGACATGTGGCATGTTTTCCGCTGGCATCGGCTACAACCTACGACCGCGAGGTTCCCACCTGCTGCCGCTTGAGTTCTTCTACGGCCGCCTCAAACGACGAGACGTGCGCCTCGTTCTGCAGCTGAAGACCGTACATATCGGACAGCACGTACCATCCACCCAGCCCCAACAAACCTATGACTCCAGTACTTATGCCAAGCCCTCGAAGCTACACCAACACCACAAAAACGCAAACGACGTCTGCCACCCCTCGTCATATTTCAATTCATCTCCGATGATTTATCCTTTTTGGTTCGTTTCTGCAGCAGTACGTTTGTTGCGGCTCGACTATTTCACCAAGGTGGTTATTCAACGCGCGAAATCGCCAAGCCGCTGCCAGGGTGGCCGCGGAGCAGCAGATATTGAGCCTTCAGCGTCACACTTTAGGGAACAAATCTCGATGGCACAGTGGATGATACAAACCCAGTGATGCGAATGTGAATGATACAATGTGTGGGTAGCTAAAGAAGGCCTGTAGTTTCAAAGATCCACGTCTGAGGGAGGGATAAACTCATTGACCTGGCAGACAGCATGCATCCCATCGTGATTGGCCATGATCTTGCTGCCGGCGTGCCTATTCAGAGAGCGTGTCCATAGATTGGCTGCCCCTAGAAGGGATTGCGCTGCTCCAAGGCAAGCAACCTCTGGTTCCTTTCATTGTGACAGAAGATAGAGGGACAGGGAGAGTGCGGTAAGGTGGAAAACAGGGAATATCTGACAGCTAAAGATTGTTATTGACATGTCTTCTGGTGGCACACTACTTGTTACCAGAAAGGCGTCCTGGAGAGGGTGAAGCAATGGGACGTCTACAGAAAACTGCAAATGGGGAACTGGAGCCCTTTGAAGCCAGGACCAACAGAGCTGGCCAGCTGCAACCTAAATTTAATAGAGTCCAAGTGCACATTAACTGGAAGTTGAACATCAGTTTCTGCAGATGCAACAACTGTGCATGCATTGATTGGACTACCTGAAGATCAGGCCCAATATCTCAGGCACATGAATGCAGCCATCAAGCGCCTGTGATGATGGTTACAGGCCCAGCCAACTAATCATAGCATTGGAAGACAAACAGAATTGTGGCAATGGCATCGGTGCATTTCTTTGCTCCAAGGAGATTGACGAGGCAACAAACAGAATGTTGTACATTTTGCACAAGCGTGCTTTGGTTTCACCCCTCCTTCGATCCCTGCCCTTTCCCCAGTTGAGTTCGCTTGCTGCAAGGGTGTTTGTCCTCACCGCCAAAGGCAACCCCTTCGCCCTTGCCACCCTTGGATCAATTCCTTCTTCCTCAAGCCTGCCCACAAGGCAATCACAACTGTCATTGACAAAGCTCACACGGTGCCCTGCCAACATAGCAAAGACGAATGTCTGGATGCATCCTTGCAAGCAAGCATGGGAAGCAGCAGTCGTGACATGTGTCTTGTGAGCTCAGATTCATCCATAAGTTGACTTGCAGTTTATAAGGAGTCTGCATTGCTTGGCATGGAGAACCGCCCAAGACAACCAGGAACCCACATGGATCCTTTCTGTTGTTGCACATGACAAGGCACTGCCTTGGCTCCTGCAAGGTGTTCATATCGACTGTCCCGATGCACAAGTATTGCTCCCCACTCTGTTTGGACCACCATTCCCCCCTCCTACCCTCCCCCTTTTGTCATCAGGGAATAGCCTCATGGAGCCAACAGCTGGCATTGGAAAAGAAACAACAACACAAGCTCTCACAACCTCAGGTGGAAATCTGATTTGAGGACCCAGGGTGAGCAGTGGAAGGAACTGGCAAACATTGAATTCATCAAGTCTACCATTCTCACGCTGCGAGCTCTTCTCTTCCACTGCCATCCCCATCTCAAGATCCTTCAGAGTGGTGGCTGGAGCTGGGGAATCACGATCGTCCCAGCAGTGCTACAATATTACCACACACAGGATGACACTAGACAACCTGGGACGCTATCTTGCTGTGGTTCCTTGGTAGGCAGGCACATGTTGGATCAGGTGTCTTTTGGTTAGGCATGCAGCATACTCAAATACCACACACGGCAACCCTTCATCGGTTTGACAAGGGGATTCCTGCCCTCCATTCTGCTGGACCTGGCTTTTCTAGGTTCCTGGACAATTGTGTTTGGGTTGTTCTACAGCCCGCATGGTGGCCGATATAGCTTCGCTGCTCCCGGGCCTGATTGTACTTTGTAACATCTTGACATACCACACCCATTGCATATGTGCCCATCCAGGGGGCAGGTTCCTGGCCTCTGGAGGTATTCCGATCTTTTCTAGCACCACAAGGGGGCGTGACACTCTCTTACGTCTGTCTCTCTCCTTGGGCTCGGCTTGCTGGATGCCCCTTGGGCTCACCAGTTGTGTTGGTGGACATACCCTGTGGGTTCGGCCAAACCGGGGTGCCTGGCACCATTGGCCGACATCGGCAGTTGGGCGCAAGGGCTACATCGCTCTGTCTTATCAACAAAATGTCATTCAAACAGATTCGGCGTGTTTTGTTTCCCGTGTTGTCTGAAGACCGACCACCAGGCTCGTGACGGCCTTAATGCCACGTGCGCGGCAGCCAAATGGACCCCAATCGCAAACCACCGCGGTCCCCAACACCCCTCAAGACGGCCCAATCCACAGCTACACCTACGACTTTGCCGCCCTGGCCACGCTCGTCGCTCCGGCGATCAATGCACCTGGCCAAACCGCCAAAGGACCGGCGTCAGGAGGCACAACCAATACCATAGTGCACCGCACTGGGCACAATCCCCCTGTCTGGGATTGCGAAATCTGAGAAGGGCTTTTCTAGCAATGAATCAATACACCACGCACCTGTCGTGCACCCGTCGGCGATTCGCTGGCTGCCCCTCGGGCTGACCAGCCGTGTTCGTGAGCAGACACTGTGCTTTCGAACAAAAGGCATGCGCATGGGATCAATGCCCAACATCGCCAGTTTATGGTGCAAGGGCTTTGCTTTGTCTTCTGACAAATGTAACAACGCAAAGGATTCACACACCTGTCGCGCACACTCCCAGCCCCCAGGTGAGGGCCTGCGACGGCGACACCTGTCGTGTGCCTGCGCCACACAGCTTAGAACAATTTCGACCTTGCGGGAGCGAGCAGCGCACCATGCCTAAGAGGTAAGTCAGGGCCTACTCTCAGCAGAGGGGGATTCGAGCAGGGGGGCAAGCCACCTGGATCCGCCATGGCGCCGCGCCCGCAGCTCTCTGCCCGAGCGGTGGGTTTGGGGCGGGGGTGGGAGGCGGATGGTGTTTGTGGCTGGGCCAAAAGGACCAACAAGAGGTCTGGTGAAAGCAATGAAACGACATGAACAAAAAGGAGAATGTAAAAAATGGAAATGGACATAAAACAAGACGGAACAACGGAGCGGGAGAAGTGAAAACGGAAGGCGGGATGAGCAACAAGGAAAAGGGGAAAGGAAAAACGCCCGGAGGACCAACAACGGGGACCAGTAAAGATAACGAAGCAATGCAAACAGGTTGAAAAAAACAGGAACAAAAATAAAAGTAAAACAAAACAAAACGTTGGGGTAGCAAAAAGGAAAACGGAAAAGGAAATGAGGAAATGGGCAAAAAGAAAACGAGAACAAATGGAAAAGGAAAAAGAGAAAGACGTGGTCCGTTTGGGCCGAGAATTGGGCCGCGGGCCGCTCATTCCTGGAGACCGGAAACGCGGTCCAGCCTTCGCGGCACACGGGCGGGAGCACCAGGCCTGGGGCGTCGAGGCGCGGCGGGTGCACGGCGTCGGGCTGGCCCCCGCGCGCCGCATCGGTCCATCAGGCTCGTGAAATCTCAGCCTATCAAAAACGGAGGCCGCCGCGGGGCGCAGCCGTCGGTGGAGAAACGCAAGCGGCGGAAGGCAAGGGGAGGGGAGGGGTGGAGCGGGCTAAGATTCTTGAATTGCCTGGAATCGAGGCCACATCCTTCCGTTTGCTCTCGACGTTTGAGGGAGGCATAGGCGGTAGGCCCCGGGACGGATCGGAGCCCTCGCGTATTGGAGCTGGGGAGGTGGGGGGCAGGGGGAGCGCTGTTGAGGAGGATTGACAGGGCAGAAGGTCGCACCTGGCTCGGTGGCTTGCCGATTGGAGGCGGCCGGCGAAGGGCGGGGATGCAGCGGGGCAACGCGCCCGCCTTCGGGACGCCGTCGCCGGTGATTGGCCCGGCGGTCGCCGTCCAGGCGCAAGCGCCGGGCGTGATTGCGCCCCTGTCCGTGCCCGTCGGGATGGCGACGCCCCTGGAGCTCAGCCAAGGTGGGCAGTCGGGATCGCAGTTGCAATTGCAATCGCCACAGGCGTGGCTGCGTTCGCCCCAGGCTTCCGGAGGTCGGCCGTGTGCATACTCTTCGGCGGCACGCTCGGCGCAGCAGCTGCAGATTCTGGGCCAAGGGCGAGGTGCTGCGGGGCATGGGGGTCAGCATGCCGCGCAGTGGGGGTCGCAGGCACCCGTGGTTGGGACTGTGGGTGGTGGCATGGGCCACGCTGCAGATGTGGAGTTTGATTTTCCAAGGGGAGGTGGGACGGAGGGTGGCAGGGGGCTACAATTTCACGCCGTGGCCGCCGAGACGGGGGTCCGGGACGGCGATTTGGGGGATGCAGGGGAGGAGTTTGGTGTGGGCGGGGAGCCGGGCGTCAGCGAGGGGCCTGGGGCATTCTTCCCGGTGGCAGGGCCCTTGGAGGGGGATGGTGGGGCGGCTGGGGGCCAGCGGGCGGGCGCGGGGGACTCGGGGGAGGCCTGGGCGGATGGCGCGGCGAAGAGGAGCAAAGGTGGGGCAGTAACGATCAGCAGCCTTTTTCACTGTGGCTATTTCGCCACTGGTCGAGCTACCTCTTGGAAAGAGTCTCACGAACATTTGCTTCGGAGGGGTGCCCTCTTTGTGTTGCCTGTTGCTTTGGAGCGCAACGGATCTGGCCCTTGGTGGCGTCGTGTGCGGTCCACCCCTCTTCTTTTGGCACAGAGGCCAAAGTTTGGGCTTGTGAGGTGGCAATTCTGCCTCGCGTTTCCATGGAAATTTCTGGCAGGACATGGAAATGTGTGTCCTGACGAAAAAGACAATGAGTGTTAGTCAAAGTTTCCGTATCACCTAGGCTTCAAAAAAGTGTTGTGTCTCCACCCCACACTGGTATGCCACCAAGTATGCTCAAATCTTTCAGGTGGCATCTTATAAGGGGCATTGTGCAGAAACGTGCAGCACGCGCACCAGAAGAAAAAGGGAGGCTTGATTCGCAGTGGATTTCCGCAACGATTCAAGTTACAATTACATGGAAAAGCATATCCCTTGCATGAGGTGCTGGCAGGCACATTTTCTCCCAGCAAATTTTGTGTTGAACACGGTTTTGTTAGCAGTTTGTGTAGCCATTGATATATTTCACTGAAGAATACGCTATACATTATTGAGAACAATGGTCAGTTTGCAGATGTTGTTGTTCTGCATTCACTTGGAGACAGCCATAATTCCACAGTTGCTATCCCAGCAGATTGGGCTGATTATTCTTGCCAGTTGTGCTGTGCGCCTCTCTTGAGCAGGTTATTTGATTCTTGTTCATGGTGCCACGCAGCACCTGGATATCCCCTTGTTCATCAGGAAAAACACCCAATCAAATGTAAGATCTTCATTTAGACTCAATATTGAATAGAAATACAATAGTGATGATATGCAGCAGAGCTGATGCCAATGTTGAAGAATGGGGTGGGGCAGACAAGGTCGAGGCACCTGCACGACTGTGGATATGAAACATCGTGTGTGCTGAACTGACGTTCTATATTTTGTTTCCAGCAGAATGAATTCATAATGTATCATCATGTGAAAGCAATCTCATAAAAATGTAGCTATAGATATTGTGATAAACCGTAATAGTGATTACATAATGTTAAACCATCTGTTGCATCTCTGGCTAATAATGGCTGATTTCTCATCAACACGTGCATTGTGGAAGGGTCCTGGCATGTCTTATGAAGGCAAATTTAGACAAAGGAATTACATATATAATGCACACCACTGTATAAACAGGAAGGTGTAATGTATGGCACCAAACTGTTGGCACACCTTGGAACAGGCTTTTCATCCATGTTGGCAATCCATCACCATGTATATCTTTTCTGATTCCAAAAGGACCATGTAATACTTTAGGAAGAGTATGGAAGCAAAAGTTGTGTATATTTGCATTGCCCTGGAGTACTGTTTAACATGGAATTTTTGCTTGACTTTGGCTTGACGGTTTGAAGCACTTGTTCAGGACGTCTGCATGAAGAGATTGTGGCCTTTGCACAGCAGTGCTTCCCTTCCAGGGAAGAACTGCAATTGATGCAATTGATGGAACAAGGGTTGGGGCAAGTGGAGCAAGCTACATTGGAGGTGTTTCCAAATTCAAAGACCATTCTGTTTGGTTCACAGGTGGGTCTGTTGAAATTTGCCATAAGTGACAGCTGCTCCATGTAGGTCATTACTGTAGCTTGACTGAACTGTTTGTCAATAGCACCTGACATATCCTAGCTTTTTCACCTTGCAGCAATGCCGGGCAGAGCAGCAGCTAGCAAAAATTTGCCCTCCTGGCCTTCACCAAAGTGCCACACAATAGACATTGCCACAGTGGCAAGAATGATGCAATTCTGCTTGGAAATGCTGCAAATGGAATGGCAATGCATTATCCCATTTTCAACCAAAGCAGACTGTTATCAGCCGAAGTCTATTGGGGCATATGATGAGCAGTGTGAAGGCACAGTGGGGCAGTTGGACAGTTATTTGTGCGGACTTCTGTTGTGGCAGCAGTCTAGCTAATCACCTGTGCATTCTGCCATTGATGTAACCCAGTCACGCTGAAATTAAAAAACTTCTGGGATGCTCTTCTCTGTTGGGGAAGCTGTTCCTTCATTGACAGTGAATGCTGTGAATGGGGCTCCAGGGTAGAGACACCACGCCGTTTGTGCACCGTATGTGGAGATTAGCACCATATGTATATCCAGCATTACGAGCTATATGTGAAGCTTGTTTCTTCTCACAGGGCTGCAGGCACCATGCCCTGCTATGGCACTATGTCAACAGCATCTGGATTGATTGACATGGATCGATTGGATGTTGATCATTGTTCATGATTGACTGTTGATGATTTGTTGTTCATTGAATCTTGACGATTATTCATGACTGCCTATCCACTGTGTGTCCAGGCCAGTTCTCTGTCGTTACCTGGCAGCGACATGGACGTTGTTATCCTGGGGGCTGGCAGGGACATCTGCGCTCCTGCGGAGTCCTTCACCACTGTTGAAAAGAATGCTGTTGTCCAGAAGCTCGGTATGCTGCTGGAGAACTTGAAACGGCGTGGGCTGGTGGCGGGCCGTGGACGCGTGCTGGCTAGTGCAAAGGTGCCATTCATGTGCAGCCTCAGCGATCGCAGTGTCCAAAACATTACATAGCAATTTCTTGTGCTGCATTGAAGGATCGTTGTATACTGCTGGCATAACTGACACTGTCATTTGATCTGAGTGTTGATCTGAGTTTTAAAACAAGTGCCAAAGATTTGTTCTATTGTTGCAATCAAAGATAAATCATTCGCACGACAAACCATGGCCGTTTCGCCTTGTCCTTCATATTGGGCAATATGCGCAAATCATATTGTGCTCTGAAGAAATTTTATGTTTCCATCCCAGTATGTGCCCGTTTGCAAAATCGGTCTGTTGAACAGGCATTCCTGAACAAACTGCAGTGCTGCAAGTATGCGTGTTGTGGCCTTGCGGCTGCAAGGGCAGTTGATGCCCCAGCTATAGCCATTGTCAAACAGGACATTGGGCACAGAACTCTTGCAACAAGCAGGCAATGCCTCTCTTGACGGCATCCAACTAGCCTCATTCACTCTCCCATGCTCACAGTGCTGCACACAGCCCATTTGCACAAAATGGCGCTTAGCAACGTGCCTGTGATGTGTTTGGACAAGTGCAGTCAAATGGGTTCCCTCTCTCACAGGTGCCCATCGTGAAGGTGCTGATGCGCCTGGGGTCCAAGGCGCTGAGTGTGGACATCTCTATGGGTGTCAAGAATGGTGCCGCAGCTGTGGAGCTGATCCAGAGCTACGTGATGGGCATGCCCACTGTTCGGCCCCTGGTGGTTGTCCTGAAGGCCATTCTCAAAGAGCGCAACCTCAATGAAGTGTACTCTGGGGGCATCTCCAGCTACGTGTTGTTCAACATGGTGAGCTGGTGTTCTTCTGTTTCCCTTGCTTTTCTCTTTTGAATCCAAGGTATTGCGTCACATTCAGCGTCCCCAAGTGCCTCCCCCATCCTATAATATGATGTGTGGGCCTTGTGCCACCAAGCAAGCGCGCGCAAGGCGATGTAGAGACCCCAAATTGTTCGAATCTAAAAGAATGCTCAGCCTGAAGAAAGAGATAAGAGAAGTTCGACACTCTGGGGAAGTCCTGGCAAATCAGCAATCAGAGTAAATCGCGTTTGTCTCTATGTTGTAATGAACTAAAAAGAGAGAGTTTCCCTTGCTTTATCCAAAGTGGCACATCGCAAGTAAGAGATATGGCCCTGTGCCAACGCAACAATTGTGGCCTTTCAGACATGCTGCAATCAAGTGTGAGGCCTTATAATACCCCAAGGGAGATGCAGTGGTTGGTTGTAATTGTACATACTCGGAGTAAGTTTTAGTGATCTTACTGTCTGTAATTAATCCATGACAGATCAACAATCTCTTATGTTATGTCGTCGCTATGAGTTAGACTATGAGTAGACTATTAATTGCATGGAGTGTCGAAACCAGATGTGTAGTGTCCTGCAGCTCCATAGTCAGATCTCAAGTCCTGTGCTGCCCAAAAGGCCCCACTGTGGCAGATCAGTAGCTGCATGGCCTGAAGCACCCAAATACCTCTGAGTAAAGAGAAAAAAGCAGACCACGATGTGCCACCAGCACCTGTCAGGTGGCATCAGCGCATCCCCACCATGCTGCTGTCGGACAAATTTGTTTGTCACGTGCTGTGTTCTATTATTAGAGACAAGCACTGACCTTGTGCCTTGAACATACTGCACAACATACGATGGATGGTAAGTGCATTGTCTTTTCATACACATAATATTTTGGAATGCTATATTGTATTGTACACATGCGCACCTTGCACATATTGTCCCAATTGAGATATCCCAGTGTTCTGTCTTGATGTCAAAGTTCAGAGATAATGATCTGGGGACTTAGTTCCTGGTGTAGTTGGATGTTCATGAACGTCCAACTGAACCAAGGACAAAGTCCCCAGATTGCTGGAGACTCAGGAGATAGCTGATGCATAAACATTGTCAGTGCATCAGTTATCTGCTGCAATGTGGAAGGGCTTCGTTTGCAAGTTTTCCTGACAAACGTGGCTCATGGAATGACCGAAGTTGGGACCCAAATAGAATCCATTTGCAAATCGATGTGTTATGTTCATTGCCTGCCTACATTTTGTTGCCACAGGTGGTATCACACCTGGTGAGTGAAGGTCACCAATCCAACCTCAGCAATGCCCCCCTCCTGTCATCGGTGGCCAGGCAGATAGATTTCCTGCAAAAGGGGTTGAGGGAAGTTGAGCACGATCTTGGCCGGCTGCTTGTGCGATTTCTGAAAAGGTGTGGCCATTTGTTGTTTCCTCGAAGATTTTCCTTGTATTTCCTTATTGTTGCCCTTTTGTTCATTTCATGTAGACTGGAAACATCGGTTTTGTATTCCCTGATGAGCCAAGAAGTGTTGAACAATTATGAAAAAGCAGTTGCAGTGAGCCATAAATATGTAACGATGAGGGTGACAAAGAATGCGTTCGGTCCATATTCAAGGCAAGTACTCAGTCTGTGCGGACCAAGGCGATGCCTTTGGTACATGCAAGGGCATTGCAGGTGGGATGCTAGCATAGTGCCAAAAATTGTGTCGAGTCGACGTTCATTCGCAATTGTTATTTTTGCTGTAAATTTGGCCACGGCATCTCCTATGAGTCTATGGGTTTCTCCCAAATTTTTGTAGAAAACGGATATGTAAATAGATGTGGCAGTACTTTGAACCCACGGGACTCGGACACTGAATTCGAGGTTTGCCACCCCCGCCCCCCCAAATAAAGCCTCTAGACAGGGTCGCCTTTGGACTGATGCTTCCTGGCGTAGGGTGCATATTTGTGGCCGCTGCTTTGGCTGCGAGCTTGAGACATATCCGTGAGGGTGCCGAACCGAGCTCGGCACCACTCGATCGTGGATCGCCACCATGGTTTTGATGGGCAAACAATATTTTCACTTGTGGACTGGGGATCCAGAATTCTGACGAGTTCGCTGTCATGGCCTTTTGAGACAGCAGTGCCACAATGGATAGGTTGGCTACAGGTGCTAATATGACACGGACATTTTTAGAAGGAGGCTGTGGTCGCCTCACTGTGCAAGGACCAGATCATTGCCAGAGATTGCTGTTCCCTGCAATCCCACAAGTTGCACTTTCAATGGCATTTCCACCACTTTGAAGCAAACTCTCACGAGAGATTTCTCTCGCCACCCACGCGGAATTCAAGTGCCACCAACATACAGACAGCCAGGGCTCCAAGTGTATACCCACAACCTCCTATGTCCCATTCAATGAGATTCATGCTGTTTTCAGCCAAGGTGTGTAAATACCGAGGAGGCCATTAATTGGAGATCCCTGGTGAACAAAGATCTCCAGACGCACGCAGCTGTTCTCTGGTTTGTCTTAGGGCGATGGTGGATCCCTAATATGTTGGCGCATCCTCTACAAAGGACGCCGCAGATCTTCAGAGTTTGGTGATCGCTGGAGCATACCCAACCGCCATTTCTTACAGCGTCCAGAGCGATAGACGCTGATCGCAGGGCTAGCGCATGAGCATCATTGACAGCACCACCCTTTTGGCACCATGGACTCCCAGGATGGGTGCACTGCTCTTGTGCGTGGCCTTGCAGGAATCCGGATGGCATTTTTGGGGTCGTTGGTGAACGCTGATGAGGTTCAAATTCTGGTCCAGAGTGGTGAAATTCGAGGCTCTGCCAAATCTGTTGTTCATTGTTGTTCGCTACAAAAATTTGAGGGCATTCAACAACCTTCCAGAGGGTAGTCCAGTTGCATTTTCATTAAAAATAGCAAGTGTGTGATACAAATAAGCTCTCAAACAAATCCAGACATTTAATTCGGAAGGAGGAAGTTTCACACAGCAAGTGTGTGGTCCAGGGTTATGTACTAAGCATAAGTATAAGCTGCTTGATTTGAATTTCATCCTGTTTGCAGGTTTGGCAATTTCTTCCAGTATGACACTATGGCAGTGAGCATTAGGGGCGGGTCAGCCATTGTTCCCAAAGCCAGGTTGAACTACAATGGCGTGTCTTCCAGTATACTGGCAGTGGAGGATCCACAGGTGGGCTCAAGCAGCAAGACCAAGGACATGTGCACAACTGCTTGGGGAGAGTGGGCGTATGGCTGTGTACTTTGTTGTGGCTCCTGTGCCTTTGTGAAAGGGTGAAATTGTTTGCAAGCCAAGAAAAGAAGTGCATCGTAGGAAACACGTGCATGTGTATGGATGCTCCATTGTTGCTGTCAAGGCAAAGCGGTCCATGAATGAATGAATCCTCAGCAGAAAGGCCAACCAAGCCAAGTTTGGCTATATACTCCCTGGCATGATGGCATCAAGGGATGTGCCACAGCATGTTTAAATCAGCATATGCATGAGGAAGGCCAGATAATGCAAGTCCTAGCCTACATCCAAATCCGCCAAGCATTCAATGAGGAATCCCTGTGAAAACGTTGTTGCATGCCAGGCTGCGGGAAAGGACATCTGTGGAGGTTCGCGCCGCATGCGGGATGTGAAAGATCTTTTTGCTACCCTGGCAGACGTTCTTGAGGATGCTCAAATGAGCCGGGCGAAAAAGGGCAGAGCACAGGTGTGTTGTGGCATTTCTGTTGACGTGGTGTTGTCAGAAATTTGGCAAAGTCTGTCAACTACATTCCATAACAACCAAGTGTTGTCGAGTACAGAGTCATGTGCCTGCCTTAAGCAAAAGAACACACAAGGGAATGATTGCCCAATCATGTATGTGTGCACACTTATCATGACGTGTCTCTAAGATGGGTAGAAGTAAACACAATGTGGAAGAAAAGAAAATAGGTCGACACTGAAGAGAAAATTGAGACAATGTAATGGGGAGCATATCACGAGTGCACAAAGAAAATATAGGGATATGTGAATCATTGTGTTTATGACGGCAATGACAATATAGACACAGGGAGGTTCCATTTGAATGCACAACATGATCAGTCTGTTTTTGAGCATGTGAGATGACGATGTTGCATTGTTGCCTCACTCCATTTATTCTGTAATGGTTTCAATTCGATCATCACTTATGGGAAGTATAGATGTTCACAACTAACAGCATCAGAGGAGCGGTGAGTTTGCTTGAGGAATGCAACAAGGGTGCCAAGTGAGCTGGTTGGTTGAATATATCCATTACCGCAACTTGCAACTTGACACTTGGGTCAAGGCATGTGCCTTTGCTGAGGGCAGTTCGTCTGATCCCATCTGTTGTCTAGTAGAACGCTGAGAGCTCACAATGCTGGCAAAACCCCATGCAGCTCCTGTAGAAATATGCAATGTGTTGCAACTGGTGGCATTGTTTGTGCAGCTGTCTGTGGAGGGTTCAGTTCATATGTTACATGCCAAGACTGAGAGACTATTTTGAGTTAGATGTCATACACAGTATACAAGTTGTTAAAGGTGTAGGTCATGATGCTGTGCTTTGTCGGTTTCCATTTTAGTTCCCATTTTCAGGTACGATGTAGTGAAGGAGACTTCCCATCTGGATCTGAGCTCTGAGCTGTGTGTTGGCTTCAACAGCCAAGTTTGCGATTATTCACGGCCAAAAGTGGCACTTGAAAAGTGCCTGCATATAGGGATGTGCACAAGATACATGCACAACACAGTGCTGCAATGCGCGCAATGTGCACAAGATGTGTAGCGCATGCTCAAGAACAAGGATTGGGATACATCTGTTTGTCTGCATACAGGGCCGTGTGTTTGCGACAGCATGTGTAGCATCTGTGCTGCAGCTCTGTGGCATTGCTCAGTTTTCTGTGTAAGAGGAGTGAGACTGTTTTTTTCCCACCCTGCCTTGCAGGCCACAGAATATCCTTTTCTGAACCAGATCTTCTGCGTTGGGGATGTGTTGAAGCGCAGGTTGATCCACGACCGCAAGCGATCGATGCAATCGCTTCAAGGCGAATCCAGTGCCAAGAAGAGAAGACGATCGGGCAGTTGAAGTTGGGTAGCGACCTCAGTTCCACGGCATTGTGCCATCCCCAGTTCTGACGAGCATTTTATTTTTTGGGGTGTGCTGCTTTTGTGGATGTCGCCCTGTGCCAAGACCGAATTGTGCTCCACATTGTTGTGCACCTTTGTTGTGTATGTAGGTTGCGTGCTGCCACCTGTTGCTGTGGTTGCCTCTGTCGTATTTCTCACTGCGATATCAGCATCTGGGCAGCATGACGCCGCTGAAGTGGGTGAACGGTCGTTGCATCCGGTGCTTCGCCTGTATATTCCGCTCGCTGAGCGTGCAGGACATAGAGAGCGTTCAGATCATTGGCTGCGGACAGTCGTTGCTGCTGGGCACAAAGCGCCCAGTTGCTTGGGAACCCTTTTCGAAGGGCTCACGGGCAAGTCACACAAAACCCTCTTTTGGCAACGGGCGCGTGTAAGGCTCCGTAATTTCTAGCACTGAAAGGTTTTGGTGGAAGCTGTCCGTAGCACTGAAAGTTTGTCAAGCTCTCTTGACGACGGGAAGGTCCCCGTGAAGCAGGGCGTGGGGCGACGTGTGGCAGGTGATCTGCGGGGTTTGCACGATTGTTGAATCGATTGGGTGGCCTTATGACCTGTTGGGACAGCGTTGGCTGACTCATGCCGGCTCCAATGGTTGGGGCTCGTTGGGGTCGGGAATGGGCTTGGGAGGCGAGGGTGAAAGGGCGGGCGGCTGGGATGCAGGACTTGCTCCAAAGCATTCCGCCTTTGCAGGTGGTGCAGAAGCACGGAGCCTGGTACGTTCTCCAGGTGAGCTGCTTTGTGTGTTTGTGCGCCCTGCCTGGGCACCCCCCATTTTCTGTTTTTCTTTTTGTCGTATTTTCGTTTTTCGCCCACGTTTTCCTGGTGAGGGGCTGGCTTCGCTCTGCTGCACTGTTTGCGATCAGTCAAACGACGATGACACATGATAGCGCTGTGGCCGGCGTGGCATTGAATGCATGCCGGTTGCACTTGCGGAGTGCTGCACATTAGACACAATGTATATGCCTGGGAGTGTCCGGGAACGCGCGGAACCGTCCAAGGCCTCGGAATACTTTTTAGTGGCCGCTCGGACACGTCTGCGCGCTGCGCAGACGCTCTCGGACGCGCTCGGATGCTTCAGGTCCGCTCGGAAACCGCGCAGACGCCCCCCTTTTCCCATAGTGCCCCCCCGTCCTGTCCCCCCCCCCCCGGTTGACACCCCACACCTTCAAATTGGCGTCCTGGAGCAAGTTTCGCTCCGATTGACTTCAAATTTTGACCGTGTCTTGCACATCCCGCTCAGATGGCGTGGCCCAAATTTCGTGTCCAAATTCAAAGTTCATGCTCCGCAATAGCCTTCTGCGCAACGGGACAGGGTGTCCCAGGCATATCACACACATGGATAACACAACTTCAAATTGGCGTCCTGGAGCGAGTTTTGCTCCGATTGACTTGAAATTTTGACCTCGTCCTGCACATCCCGTTCAGATAACGTGGTCCAAATTTCGTGTCCAAATTCAAAGTTCCCCCTCCGCAATAGCCCCCCCCGCAACGGGACACGACGTCACAGGCATGTCACGCATGTCCCGCCCTTGGGCGCTGGATGGTCGCGGTGGCCGCGGAGCCACTGCGGTTGGCCGTTAGACACATGTGCCGGCCCTGTGGCGCCCTCTCGTTGCTTGTGTGAAAACTGGCGTTGTTTTCCAATGGAAATGCATGACGATGGCAACAATGGAGATTCGAAAATGGGGGGGGTCTACACTTTCAAGAGGCGCCATCCGCCTGCTTGAGAGCCGCCAATGCAAGCGGGAACAAGAAACAGACTGCAAGACCGCCTACAGGAAGTGGAAATGGACGGACTGCCAGCTAACCGAGTCAAAGATCCCGGCGAAGTCACGTCCAGAATAAGGGCGGGTGCATGAATACAAATGGTGGGAAGGGATAGACAGTGTGCAACAACAAAGGGAGCCGCAAAGCCACAACGGTTGGTCACCCCTAGCCGCCAGACTAGGTGAGCAAAAGGCATCAATCACTGCCCAACCAGGGGAGAATGTCGAGAAGTGGCCCCGTGACTCAGTGGAGGGCCTGCCAGTTGCAACCCGTCCCCACGCGAATTCGTAAAGGCCACCCCTGGCCGGCAAACTAGGCGAGCAAAGGGCATCAATTAAGACCAGGGGAGAATTTGGAGAAGGGCCCCTGCGATCCAGCGACAAGTTCGGCGTCGTGAGTTCCCCTAGTGGACAGAAATCGCCAGCGAGCCACGTGCAGATCTGAATGGCCAAAAGCACACCTTGCCGGGCAGCATGCAATCCGCCGTGCTATGCAATCCGCCCGCGCTGTGTTGTCCGCAGCTCCAGCCCATCCCATGCGCAAGCAGATGTCCCCGTGGCGGGGTGGGGGTGGGGGGGTGGGGGCGGGTGTGGAGGGTGGAAGGGGGGCACGCGGGGAGGGGGTAGGGACTGTGGGAGGCGGCGGAATCGAATGTACGGGGGCGCCATATGTGTCCGATAATCGGGCACCTGATCGTGGAGCTAACCATATGTGTATGCAGCTATGGAGTTTTAGACAACGGCACATGGCATCCTGTGGGCTTGAGAAGGCCCCTTGACAACGATTTCAATGTGTTCTACGAGCGCAAAACCCACGCCCCTCGTAAATTTAATGGCCTCGGTGGCGCATCAAATCACATGCTCTTTGAACCGTTCTGCCCAAAGATCGTGATTGGGAATCACGATTTTAGGGCATTGAAAAAATTTCATCAACCAATATCTAATGTTGATTATTATTTACACCACTGACGAAGGCAGGCAGGGTCGAGGGGTGGCGATCCCTGAACGGGAATTGTACGCTCGAGTCCACGGCAACGGTTTACAGCCGAGGCAAAAGGACAACAGACGTTTTGTCCTTTATACCCAGTCCGTTCATCAACATCCCTAATGCAATCCTTAGTGCTTCGTCATCTTTTCATACATTCAGTTATTAATAACACTCAATCAGTTCTAGCCGTAACACCACTATCATATTGTTATTTATATTAGTATTTCACATTGATTGGCTCGCTCTGGTCCAGGCGCCATTATGTTTCATTCCAAGACAATACAACGCATTCA